ATCTCTTAAACGCTTCTTAAGATATTGTTGTTTGAAATTCACAAATTTTAATTTTAAAGCTTTTAACCCACGTTGACCTTTGACTCCGGCAAGCACTTAAAATTAACATTGGACATCATTACTGTAATGAAGAAAACTTGACTCTAGACTCATGACACTAGACCAAATGCTTATTAGGATACTGTTGTTTGAAGTTTTTAACATATTTGACTCCTGTGACATTGAAAGTAGGTCAAGGCCATTTTAAAGAGGAAACTGTATAGCACTCTATCCCTGGTACCTACTGACTAAATAGCATGACCCTAGGCCTTATTGAAATTACGAGGAAGATTGTTAAAGCTTTTAACCGATGATGACTTGTGAAACCCAATTAGCACTTAAAGTTGACCTTTGACCTCATTACTGTTATTAAGAAAAGAATTTACACTGCTAGTCTACATAAAATACCCAAGCATCATGACCTAGTCCAAATGGTTCTTAGGATATTGTTGTTTGAAGTTTTTAACATATTTGACCCCTGCGACCTTGAAAATAGGTCAAGGTTATTTAAACGAGGAAACTTTATAGCACTCCATCCCAGGTACCTACTGGCCGAATATTAAGAATATTCGGGCCAGGTGCGCTAACAAAAACCAGGGACAGGAAAATAAGTGAACTTGAAAACAATGTGGATGACCTTGAAATGTATGGTCGCAGAAATGGTATCCATTTTTATGGAATTCCAGAGACTGTAAATGAAAATACAGTTAAGATTGTCTTAGTAACCGGTGCCAAAGTACTAGAGTTTGGGCTAGGACGTAGCCACCGTGTGGGCCCTAAGCAGACTGGTGTAACTAGACCTATTATTGCCAAGTTCATTTCACACAACTTGAAAGTGGAGATGATGGGAAAGAAAAGCATGTGAACGGTATGGATACAACTAAGATCGCTCAAGGATGTGGACAAATATTCATCAATGAGGACCTAATAAAACAAGAGCTTACTGCACAGGCATAACAAGCAAGGGAAATTGTATGGTTTGGTTTAGTATTGTTTAACGTCCTATCAACAGCTATGGTCATTTAAGGACGGCCTCCCCTGTGTGCAAGATGCATGCGTGTAATGTATGCGTCTGACGGTAAGTGTTATGATACACGGATGATGGTGTGATTTATGTGAAAACAGATAACAATGAAATATTCCGAATAAATTCAAAGTTTGATACAAAGTAAAAGTATGCAGCTTTCCAACGGTACTAAGCATTTTCCCGTAGATCAACTAGAAAAGTTGTTTTTGATGCAAGAAAGATAGGTGGGGTCGACTTTTCGACATCGCGTTCTTTCCGCCTTTCTCGTACTTATACGATCATTCGGGTGTCATTTTTACCGAGTGTCGATCTTAACCCCTAAAACACATACAATTACTCTGAACACCTTATAATTTAGGTCCAAATATAGCTGTAATAAATTCCCAGGTCCCTGTGGTTGTAAGCAAGGAAGGCAACGCTGACGCATTTACGGGGATCTGAGGTCATTCCGCTCCCATTTCCCATCTTGAAAACACATATTTTAATAGTGATTTTTTTCACAGTTTGAGAAGAATTTCTATATTCGTATCCCAATAGCTAATGAAAAAGGGTTCGAACAGAAAAAAATATCTCAAAATAAAATAAATGTAGGACAGATAATATCGCGTGATAACACTGGTAGAATATTATGATTTAACATAATTCATGCTTAGTTACGTTATTTATGACTTGTGTTACATCAGTTTTAGTAAATGTTCATAATTTGATGTACCTCTAGTAACGTAGTTGTTTTTTTCGTCGGGACTTTTGATTTTTGATGATGTCTAAAGTCTCATTACTTTTTCGTTCTATAGGCAATAATCACACGAAGAGTTGAGATCAATTCTACATGTTGGTGACAATACACTTATATCCTTCTCGAAACTACCGGAAATGACCAGTAGTTGGAATCATGACCAGTCCTTTTAACTCCGTTGTCTTTTGAACCTTAAGGACCCCGTACCACTGTCTAATACTGTAACTATACATAGGAAGCTATTTTTGCGGCATACCAATTTTTGTGATGAATCATTTCTAAAAAGAAAAACATACCTTGCCGAACTTATATGAAAAATAGTGGATACAAAATAAACATGAAAATAATCAACCGAAATAGTTGGAGTTTGAAGTATATCGCAAAAGAAATTAAGTTAATGTTTTACGTAATTAACGAAAAACCAAATTGGAATTATGAAGTGTTTTGATTGGTACAGAAACCCTTTAAACGTGAACCACGGCAGTGGTAGAGACATGCATGTTTCCACGATTGATAACTTCGGTGACCCCTGCAGATTGGCTCGTTTCTCTTCTGTTTTAACCGACTACCACCTTGTTATGCATTCTGGTAGTTCTCGGTAGAAATCTTCTCGAGTCATTCTCGTGTTGGCAGATACTTATGTTGGCTTTTTTCTTTTCTTTTGCTTAGGTTTTAACATCAATGCAACATCCTAGGTCTTACACAAACTTGTGTTCGGGAGACTCTGCCGGAAAAAAGAGTCGGTAGAAGAGAAAAAGGGCTGAAGTTCAAAAGTGTTATAACATGGTGGTAGTTGTACTTAAGAAGAAGGCATGCGGGGGCCGATTGTACAGAGGGCTCACATATAAGCCATGTTCCATACTCATAAATGAGGGAGCCATCCACTCTATGCTGTTAGTTGATCTTTTTATGGAGCCTGCCATCAGATCTATATCTCATTCTTATTCCTGGAACTGAGCAATGCGGAGATCCTTCTCTTATGCAGTTTCTACAAAGTCGCAGGTCTTTGACTGCAGGGTACTATAACGTCATCCATGACACAGAACCAACCGTACTAAAATGATATGGAGCTACACTTTTAGTTGCCGGCCTTGAAATCTAGCACCTCCCTGAGTGCTGACGACTGCAGTAAACGCTGCTTGGAAAGTGAACAAAGAGGGTTTGCCTATCTCGTTTTTCTCTTTGATGCATCATTGCGTGCGAACCGATTTGATGGAGAACATTTCAAATAGGTTGAAAACAAGTGCGTCCTGATAATCATCGATCATATTCAAATTAAGGAAATGCGTTTTACGCTGTATATTAATTAAGCGCCTGTCTGACCTTCGCTGTTGCGAGAACTACAACCCTTAAAAACGCCTGTTGCATAGTCGTACAGGGACTTCATTGTGTCGTCCCCGACATGTTGGCCGCCTCACTGTAACGTAGTCATCTGAATGTTAATTGCCAGTTCCCATTGTCATGTTACACAAATCTATACTTAATGCTTTACCGATTTTGCTGAAGCAGAAGAAATCACACATACTTAATTTCGGTCATGTTAAAAATCACGCGCATAGAAGATCATTCGGAAACCGTCGGCACTTTCCGTTGACGAGAAATTCGTTTACGGAAATTACCGATGTCATCGTAGGAGCATCGGTTGCTTCGTTAGCTAAAACGATAACATGGTTGATGCTCGCTGTTACACGTCTTCTTCTTTTTTGTTTCGCGCAAACAGTCATAAGTTTGCTTTGGTTGGTAGGTGACATAAAGACCTCGTCGGCCCTGGCGGATATTCCATGAGAACCTTTACCTTTCATGCTTTGTCGTGTAGAAATGCATGGAAAATGCTCTTTGGATCCTTCTGATTTCTCAGATGAATAGTTTGCAAAAAACAACAAGCAAAAGTTTGATGTCAATGGTCATTTTAAAATATCGGTTGAATATTTCTCCATGTCTCCAATTAAACATGCCAATGTGCCTTATATATTCAGAAATTAAACATAGCTAAATACCAATCAGTGGTAGTAAGGATGGCATAAAGAGGTCATAGCCAGGAGGTCACAGAGAGGTCAAGGCCAGAGGGGCAGACAAATCCTGGTCAGGAGGGCACATCAGAGATGAAAATAGGCTAATGGGTAAACATTCTAAAATTTAGATTTTTGTAATCCTGTCTAAAGGGCAAATTACAAAAGTTTGCATTAAATTGAAATTCTGAAAAAATATTTCTTAAGAACTTATCTTTGATCTTTAATCGAAAAGGGCACCGAGTCCATGGTCAGAAGGTAGAGAATTGCTGGCAAAAAGGGCACTGAGTTTATGGTCAGAAGGGTACAGAAGACATGCTGGCAAAAAGGCAGTGAGTTCATGGTCAGAAGGGTACAAAAGACATGCTGGCAAAAAGGCAGTGAGTTCATGGTCTAAAGCGTACAGAAGGCATGCTGACCAAAAAGGGCACTGATCTAATGATTAGAAGGGTACAGGAGACATGCTGACAAAAAGGGCACTGAGTTTATGGTCAGGAGGTCACAGAAGACAAGCTGGCAGAAGGGGCACCGAGTTCATGGTCAGGAGGTCACAGAAGACAAGCTGGCAAAAAGGATAAGGGGTTCATGGTTAGAAGGGTACAGAAGGCATGCTGGCAAAAAGGGCACTGAGTTTATGGTCAGAAGGGCACAGAAGACAAACTGGCAGAAGAGGCACTCAGTTCATGGTCAGGAGGGCACAGAAAGGGCATGGCCAGAAGGGCACTGAGTTTGTGGTCAGGAGGTCATAGAAAGGGCATGGCCAGAAGGGGCACCGAGTTCATGGTCAGGAGGTCATAGAAGACAAGCTGGCAGAAGGGGCACTGAGTTCATGGTTAGGAAGGTACAGAAGACAAGCTGGCAGAAGGGGCACTAGCTTCATGGTCAGGTCATAGTAAGGGCATGGCCAGAAGGGGCACTGAGTTCATGGTCAGGAGGTCATAGAAAGGGCATGGCCAGAAGGGGCACTGAGTTCATGGTCAGGAGGTCATAGAAAGGACATGGCCAGAAGGGACGGGTGTCATTGCTAGGAGAGCACATAAGCAATATTGTAGTCAGGATGGCAGTCATGGTCAAGAGGTCAAACAAAGGTCATGGCTGGAGGTCACAAACTATGTTACAACAAACTCAAGGACACTATCCTGATCATTACAAGAGAATAACTTACACAACACAAAACAGCTTTCATATGTTAATTTGATATTTTTAATATTAATATTTTTTCAATAGTTTTCATAATTGCAGATATTTCCTGTACACTGTCCAATAATACAATAGGATGCCTTTCCATTTTACACGGGGGGAACATACAAAAATAGTACCATGTATGTAGTCGATATATACACGTATATATATAGTAAGTAAAAATTCTTCCATGCCTTCATATAATGCATACATACGTTCATCAGAATTACTTCACACATCATTCCGGGGGCAAAGTCTATCACATTTCACCCGATAACCTTGCTCAAATCAATGTTTTTTTTACATGATTAAAAAAATGGTAACATTTTCAGAAAAAAGAGAGACAAATTTCAATGTTACATGTATAAAGTCAATATACATGTACAGTTATATACACATGTATAAAGTCAATATACATGTACAGTTATATACACATGTATATAATTTACTTCAGTATAACATACACTTAATTGTTATCAGTATATACTTGTGTACCTCCACTGGTGTCATTAACTAACTGGTCACATATTTACTCATTCACCCCTGAAATTTCATAATGAACTATTCCAACCTTTGATTGGAAGAGCTGAATTTTGTCTTCATGGGTGAATAAGTTAATTACTCTTCATTTCACAAGGCTATCATTGTGGAACTCTTCCTCAAGGGATATCTGTTAAGAGGGAGATAACTCCCACTCAATAGGAGGCTAGCTCACTCTCTCTCTCTCTTGGAATTAAATGTTGAAGCAGATAAATTGTTGTTTGAATGTCCAAGCGAGTTCCCCAATCCTATATTGTTTCACTACATCACAAAGTGGAACATCTAAATGGCTACACTGTCACAGGAAACTACCACAGGGACTTGATAATTTGCTACAGCTTATGTTATTGTATTTGATCATTGGGGGTGGCATTTTTACCAAAAGTTGACCTAAACCCCTGAAACATGTCAAATTACTCTCAACACATTAGTTTAGGTTAAAATATAGCTGTAACAAATTCTTAAGTCCGTGTGAAAATTACCACTTAGTTTTCAAACATCACATGTTGAATCAATAGACAATAGACAGTAACATACAGACTTTATAGAGCTCACTCTTCAATATATTATCTTCCAATCTACTTTACAAATGTAATAATTATGCTTAGGGGTGCTAATTGAATATCCATGTCCCTAGGTGACATTTGTAACATTTTGTTTTTTTATTTTTTTATTGGCAATACTGACCATATTTTCTGTAACAATAATTTAGATATGTTGAGTTTTCGTCTGCACAGACTACCCATACAAAGCCTATTCAATATTAAAAGCAGTTGTTTTGTTTTATTGATTAGTGAAGAGACATAATATTTGTGTTGGTCAGTATTTGGTAAAATTTATCATAACTTTCAAAATAATTGTAGAAATTCTTAGAAAAAGAAATTACTTGAACGTGATTCATGGAATTTTACATAGATGTCACATTGGCACATTAAAACAACTTACATTCAAACCAGCAGGTATCCATTCATTCATAAATGTTAGCATCAGGTTGCCATGGTGAATTACTGCAGGTAGACAGCAACCAACACATAACCGGACTCATAATGTCAGGAAAAGGGATATATACAGGAAACTGAAATAACCTTTGTTGGTAATTCAACTGAATTGCAATAGATATATTAGATATGTTTGTCTTTAAACCACACATGGGCTGAATGCTTAATGAATTTGGTAGTCATAGTTTTAAATCAAGTCTTACATTTAACCAACGATAGTAAAATGCAGATTTATATATTACAGCAGGTTTGGTACAGAATGACAATTTGCAATTTAAAAAATATTTTTGTGATGATTTACAAAATGATTTATTTTAATATATGAAATATTCTTAGCAGCACATACATATATTATAAATTAAGAAAAAATCTGTATTATACAGGTTTCAATATATATGAGAGGCAGCATTTTCAACATTATGGTTGTGTCTCAGACAGACAAAATTTGAGGATCTTTTTAACAGTACCAGATGTTGTCAATGTTATTATTACAAATAATTCTTTTAAAAAAGCCATAAAATTAAAATGACATGGAATATGCATTACTTAATTTTGCAAATAACAAATTGGTGTAAAATAACTGGAAGACCTATTTTGTTCTAGCTTATTCATCAATGTTGAATTTCAATGTAATTTTGTTACTTCAGAATGTTAAAATAAAATTGTTTCACCTCCGACATGTAAATATCTACAAGACATTATGAAATTCTTTCTAATTTAATCCCCAAACATATTGACTGCATATTTTTTGTTTTTAGAGTATGCAGATTATAAATCAATGATCTTCTGTAATGGTTCACAACGGCGGTATAGTGTGACAGTACACCGTCCAAGCTCAACAATGACGGTATAGTGTGACAGTACACTGTCCAAGCTCCACAGCGACAGTATAGTCGACAGTACACCGTCCAAGCTCCACAACGACGGTATAGTGTGACAGTACACTGTCCAAGCTCCACAACGACGGTATAGTGCGACAGTACCCTGTCCAAGCACCCCACAACGGTATAGTGCGACAGTACACGGTCCGAGCTCCACAACGACGGTATAGTGCAACAGTACCCCGTCCAAGCTCCACACCGACAGTATAGTGCGTCAGCTCCACAACGACGGTATAGTGCGACAGTACACTGTCCAAGCACCACACAACGGTATAGTGCGACAGTACACGGTCCAAGCTCCACAACGACGGTATAGTGCAACAGTACACCGTCCAAGCTCAACAACGACGGTATAGTGCGACAGTACACCATCCAAGCTCAACAACGACGGTATAGTGCGACAATACACCGTCCAAGCTCCACACCGACAGTATAGTGCGACAGCTCCACAAAGACGGTATAGTGCAACAGTACACCGTCCAAGCTCCAAAACGACAGTATAGTGCGACAGTACACCGTCCAAACTCCACACCGACAGTATAGTGCAAAAGTACACCGTCCAAGCTCCACAACGACGGTATAGTGCGACAGTACACGGTCCAAGCGCCACAACGACGGTATAGTGCGACAGTACCCCGTCCAAGCTCCACAACGACGGTATAGTGTGACAGTACACTGTCCAAGCTCCACAACGACGGTATGGTGCGACAATACACCGTCCAAGCTCCACAACGACGGTATAGGGCGACAGTACACCGTCCAAGCTCCAAACCGACAGTATAGTGCGACAGTACACCGTCCAAGCTCAACAACGACGGTATAGTGCGACAATACACCGTCCAAGCTCCACACCGACAGTATAGTGCGACAGTACACCGTCCAAGCACCACAACGACGGTATAGTGCGACAGTACACCGTCCAAGCTCCACACCGACAGTATAGTGTGACAATACACTGTCCAAGCTCCACAACGACGGTATAGTGCGACAATACACCGTCCAAGCTCCACAACGACGGTATAGTGCGACAGTACACTGTACAAGCTCCACAATGACGGTATAGTTCGACAGTACACTGTCCAAGCTCAACAACGACGGTATAGTGCGACAATACACCGTCCAAGCTCCACACCGACAGTATAGTGCGACAGTACACTGTCCAAGCTCCACAACGACGGTATAGTTCGACAGTACACTGTCCAAGCTCCACAACGACGGTATAGTGCAACAGTACACCGTCCAAGCACCACAACGACGGTATAGTGCGACAGTACACCGTCCAAGCTCCACAACGACGGTATAGTGCGACAATACAGCGTCCAAGCTCCACAATGACGGTATAGTGTGACAGTTCACCGTCCAAGCTAACACAATTTACTCACACATCACATCACCAATGTTGTCAAACACATGTTATTTTGTTGGAAGATGCTGTTCTTATACATATTTTGACAAGATGGATAGCTTGTCTGTTATGTAATATATGAATCTGGTACGATTGTTCTTCAGGTAGCGAAAGGCACAATCAGTCTATTGCTGTAACTCCACATAATTTGCAGGGAACAGTCCAGTCATCCCATGGCACTTCCCCTTCCACCAGCCATCATCAATCTGGAAAAAAGAGCAAACATATAGAATACAATATATAAGCATTCCGGTATAGAAAAATGAACTTTTGTTTGTATGTAAAGAAAAAGCTAAAGAATTTTTTATCTATTTAGCAGCGCTATTAACAAATGTCTGAATGATATCTTTCTTTGATAACAGTTGAGTTGATTTTAATCCCTTCACCCCATTGTTATGAACTATCTCGCAGTCAAATGTAACTGGGGACGTAAATTAAGTCAAGCATCTCATCAACATCTGTGTAAGCTAAATGTTCTGCATCGCTGTTGCGTGGTAAAACACCTATGGAACAAACAGAGGTCATGTTGGTGTGAATTGTTCTCAGGTGTAAATCATGAAGGTAAGCTCATTGTATGTTATGACAATATTGTAGAACAGACCTCTTGTTCCATTAAGTGGTTAAGTACAGCCTACCAATAAAATATGTGAAGCAGTGTGACACTGCTTTCAGGGGCCGCATATGTTCTAAAAATATGGCTATGGCGTTACCAGAGTTTGGCATTACAAAAACATTCAATTGTAGGGAAACGTGTTTCGATAAAATGATGGTCTAATGAAAGAACAGTCCTCCTAAATGATGGTTCAAATCACTGCTGTAGAACAAAAACCAGGCAGTTTCTCCACTTACCATTTCAATATTTGTAATAATATCATCAGGGTCAAAGTTCAATTCATCATCATCCGTAGCTTGGTAGTCGTACAACGCCACTGCTGTCTTGCCTTTATCTGCTGTTGCGTATTGGTCCTCCTCAAACTGTTCATATTGGTCCTCCTCTACTGGTTCAGAAGGTGCAGGTCGAGGTTCAGGTTCTGGTTCAGGTTCAGGTTCAGGTTCAGCCTTCGGTGTATATGTCACATCACCATATTCATCATCGGGTTCAAAACTTTCAACACTAGTCTGAGGTTTGGGTTGTTCACGTTCTGGTTCTGGTTCAGGTTCTGCTTCAGGTTCAGCTGTCTGTTCGGCCTCCCAACGCTCTCTATTACGACGCTCCTGAAGCAAATAATAATAAATGTTTGGTTTCAAAACCCTATAACAGCCATGAATGAGATTAAATTGGGTGAGCCTATTAATATAGGTAATTATATATGTAACAAATTACTCAGAATAAATGGAACAGATCGTTATGGATATTCAAAAGAACATCAATAAACTTACATCTAAAAGATTTTCAATAGATTATTGAGGCTTTCATATTTCATTAAGCTTCATTACTTATATTATGTCAAGGCGGGTAGGAAGTCTGGGTATTTATCTCATGTAAAACCATTTTACCTCTTCCTGTTTTTTTTGTTCTGCTTTTTCTCTTTCCTCAACTTTTTTCCGTCTTTCCTTCTCTTCATCTGCTCTTTTTCTGGCCTCTTCTTCATTTGATTTCGCTAAGTTTTCAAATCTGTTTCTCAAATTCTTTGCTCCATCTGAACCTGAATACACAAAATTGATCACACACTTGAATAACGACTTTTGTAGAACATGCCTTGTTACATAACAGCCATTTCGTTAGAGTATACACCACTGAAGAGGAGTGTTACGTTTCGAGTATACATGTATATTGTGGTACTTGGTCCTAGCACAACTTGTTTTAATTTCTAGAGATCGTTTAACCATGGAAAATCATTAACAACTGTCTCTACCACAGCCAGAGTTGCAGAACGGGTGTCTACTGTACCAAAAGTGAGTGAGTTGTATAGATGCCGTACGGGGGTCTATTGTACCAAAAGTGAGTGAGTTGTATAGATGCAGTACAGGGGGTCTATTGTACCAAAAGTGAGTGAGTTGTATAGATGCAGTACGGGGGGGTCTATTGTAGCAAAAGTGTGTGAGTTGTATAGATGCAGTACGGGGGTCTATTGTACCAAAAGTGTGTGAGTTGTATAGATGCAGTACGGGGGTCTATTGTACCAAAAGTGTGTGAGTTGTATAGATGCAGTACGGGGGTCTATTGTACCAAAAGTGTGTGAGTTGTATAGATGCAGTACGAGGGTCTATGTACCAAAAGTGTGTGAGTTGTATAGATGCAGTAAGGGGGCCTATTATACCAAAAGTGTGTGAGTTGTATAGATGCAGTACGGGGGTCTATTGTACCAAAAGTGAGTGAGTTGTATAGATGCATTAAGCGGGTCAATTGTACCAAAAGTGTGTGAGTTGTATCGATGCAGTACGCGGGTCTATTGTACCAAAAGTGAGTGAGTTGTATACATGCAGTACGGGGGTTTATTGTACCAAAAGTGAGTGAGTTATATAGATGCAGTACGGGGGCCTATTGTACCAAAAGCGTGTGAGTTGTATAGCTGCAGTACGGGGGTCAATTGTGCCAAAAGTGTGTGAGTTGTATAGACGCATTAAGCGGGTCAATTGTACCAAAAGTGAGTGAGTTATATAGATGCATTAAGCGGGTAAATTGTCACAACAGTGTGTGAGTTGTAGAGATGATGTACGGGGGTCTATTGGACCAAAAGTGTGTGAGTTGTATCGATACAGTACGCGGGTCTAGTGTACCAAAAGTGTGTTAGTTGTATAGATGCAGTACGGGGGTCTATTGTACCAAAAGTGTGTGAGTTGTATAGATGCCGTCTTTCTGGTTAAAACTCTCCTTAGTTTGAAAATAACCACATTTGTTTGAAAGGTTAAAGTCAGACTAAAACTGACCAGAGATTTACTGTAGCCTTTAATGGAACAAAATTTTAAGTTATAATGAGTTAGCTTGTAGTTTAAAAAAAGTAAAAGTAAAACCAGGAAGCTTGCAGCCTTAAGAAGCAGAAAAATATGAAGGACAATTTTCTTTTGATATTTTCAATGTATTTAGATTAAACTAGAACATTAACAGATCAGCAAGAGCCCCGCCAAGTGCCTGATCATAAGTCTCCCCCACCCCCATCAACCCCCGAGCTTTTTTGAGTAACAAAGACCTTGACCTAAGCAACTTTTTAAACACCTTTTACTTATAAACATATCACAGTATATAATCGTTTCAAATTTTCAAAAGATTTGGATTCCAAGACTCATTCATGGTCTATTTTTAGCTACAGTGACCTTGACCTCAGAAACTTTTTAACTTGTAATGTATATAAACATATCACTGTATATTACCATGTCAAATTTCCAAAAGTTTAGCCTTTTGCGTTACAGTAACCTTGACCTTAAACACTTTTTATCCCCTAATACATATCTACATTATTTTCCATTATCTGATTACCGGTACGTCAAATTAAAAAAACAAATCTTTTGAATTCTGAGATAATCTCCGGCAACGAAAGTGTTTGCAAACAGACAGCCAGAAGGACAGACAAACACTGTGGTTACTGTAGGGACATCTCCAATGCGGGGCCCAAATGATCAATTACTTACTGGAATTTGCTTGTGTTTTCTGGTAGGAAGTTGAAGCTCCAGCCATGTCATCAAAGGAACCAGCAGACTGAAATATGTCAATGTAGACTCTATTTAAATATACACACATGTTTATGTACTTGCCAGGAATCCCTACAGTTCATACCCATTTCTAAATTCTAAAAGTAACAGATTTCAATGCATTTTCCTCATTGCTCAAATTTAATTAAGTCCTACTGTGAAATAATATATATTTGTGGGCCCAGATTTCATGGTTTCCTAAAAGAAATCTTTGTGTATATGAATTCGTGTTTTACAAGTTTCCACCCAATGGGAAAATAGCTTCATGTCAAACTTGTAATTACTTCATGGAACTATGAATTTGTGGATGAAGATTACCCAAGAATTCAACGAAATTACAAACCCCACGAAAATGAGTGATTTCACAGTAACTAGGAATAGCTTTAGACAATGGTTTTATACACAATATTTTTATATCAAATAAATGTTTTTGTAAGACTTTTGAGACATTTTTATGATTTGCCATTAGATTTATCAGATTTATCCCCCATTAACACTTTAAAAGGTTGGTAACTATTTTATCTGATGTGTTGTTTGCTATAATGTACCGCATCCTGGTTTTCTGTATCTACACCAAATTTCCCCCCGAAGCCCTTCTTCATGTCTGTCTGGGACTCGTGTAGTTCCGTCTTGCCCATCTGACTGTAACCACCCGCAGAGGCATCTTGTCTGTCCTTCTGTACCCCATATTTACCACCGAAACCTTGTGAGTAATCTAAAACAACAAAGTAACATAACTGTATATCAGGGAAATCTATGAGTACATGTATAGTACATTTATATAAGTTTTGCACATATTACAGAATACATATGAAATTATTCATTATGAAATCTAACTAACTGAGGTCCAGATTTCTTTCTCAAAGTTGATTTTTGATACCAAGGCATTTTATTGACGCAATATCAGACAAGAATGTTACGAGAATGCAAAAAATATTTTCATGTACAGATTTAGAGAATGAAATTTTTACAGTGTTTGTCATGAAATATATGAATTTCCTAAATTAAAAAAAATAAAATAAAAACTGAAACAAAAGGGAATTACAATTGTTCCTATATATGTATAATGCTGATCGATCGGTTTTCTGTTAGTTGTAACCATGGTGACATTCATACAGCATTTATTACAACTACAGGTGAAAATGACATTTACACAACAACCATTAACAAATATTTTCATTTGTCTTCAGACACCTGTTTAAAATCTCTATGCATACAAATCGTTATATGAATCTCAATACATGTACCCAGTAATAATATTTTTGAAAACATTCCGTATGAAGTTTTTTCACATTTTTATCATGGAGCAAATCTGGCTTTCTACAATCTGGTCCTGAGTCTTACTCCTCGAAAGTGTTATCAGTTAATTTGATCAAACCTAAATATCACTCCTACTAGATCAGGAACTCTTTAGGAATAGAGATAATATGGAACTCTTTTAAAATGGAGGTAATAAGGTAGGTTGTACCCTTAACCTGATACTGGGAGATCATGAAAGGGTAACGAGATACAAGCATCTCTTTGTATGAATATGAATATCTCATCTACACACTTGATAAATTAACGTACACTAGAATCTCGAAAAAGATTCTAAAAGTTTCTGTAAACATGTGAAAACTTCTTGTAAAGATGACAAGGATATAATGTGATTAACTATGGAATAACATAGGTTAATATTTGTAGAGTGTAACAAAATATTGATACTTGCAAGACTACAAATATTGAAATAATTTATCATAAGATTTAAACATATATATATGAATCCAGAGAGTAAACATTATATCTTAAGAGGTATAAATTTAGGTTGTTGTCCGCCGTTCCGGGGAATGTTGCATAACATGCTATACTGTATGGTGACAATAAGGTTATAAGTTGTTCTAGCGTCCTTAAATGACCTTAGATGTTAATAGGACGTTAAACAAAATAAAACCAAACTGGTTTTAAAGATAGGTATGCTGTACAGTGCGACTTCCTACCGTTCTGCTCATCTGTCCAGTCACTGTCCATAGACATCTCTTTTTCTGTCAAGAACAGTCCGAGTCGTTTTAATACTGATAGCAATTTTTACCAGAATTTTCACTCCAGGTAGAAAGTTTTAAAATTCCTACTTTTTTATGTCAAATATTAGCACCAATCTATAAATATCTTGTTTTTTGCAAGATATAGAGAATGTACCTTTTTTATAATTTTTATGAGAAGTGCTTCAGCAAGTTTTATAAAGTCAGACAACATAAGAATGAGATAAACATTAATTTTTATCATAAATGAAAAGTGATACTTTTAACCCTTTCACCACTGTAGACCATAATCATGGACTCATCCAGATCAATGCATGGTAGAGTCTACTAAAGTTACATAGGGGTGAAAGGGTTAAGAAAAAAAATTGAATGCACAGGATAATTCTCATGATTTTTGCCTCGCATTGAATTCATGACATCACTGTATTTTTCTGTAAGACATCACAATGGATAATTATAAACTTGTAACATATTGACAAATAAGGGGGAGTGTTATGAAACTGCATACTTTACTAAAAATATGATAAATCTGTTAGAAGGGATGATATTGAAATAAGCAGGTGACATAACATGGCTGTTGAGTTTAATGAATTTGGGTCATCACGATAATGTCACTGGAATATTAATCTCATTTATCGTGGAGCTCACCTTTCTGTGAATCATGCTTCTCCAGTTTCTCCTTGTGTTCCCATCCGACGGCCGACTTGTCCATGTTATCCTTCTGTACGCCATACTTTCCTCCAAATCCCTTGGAGTAATCTAAATTAAAACATCTCAATCAGGTATACAGATTAATGCAAGAAAATTATCCCCTTGCAATGAAAGTTCGAGGGTATATAAGATTCTTCTCATACTTATGTTTCAGCCTGTACTTATGTAAGTTATGTACGCATGTTACACTCTTTGTCGATGCTCTAGTGACTTTGTTTCTCAATGGAATTTCATGAAACTTGATACAAGTGTTTGGTAAGGCAATGCCTTGAACAAGTTTCGGATTTCTCCGTTAAAGGTCAAGGTCACTGTAACTATTTTTTACATAAAGTCATGAAACTTGATACAAGTGTTTGGTATGACAACACCGTGAACAAGTTCGTGTTTTGGGTTACTGCTTTAAAAGTGTGAATGTGTTATATACTTTCTTACATTGAAATAAGATCTGCATCATTTCAAGAGTTGTTAGCTGACATGCTATAAAAAATGTAGGAGAAAATCTTCAGACAAAAAATCAAATACTGAAATGAACAAATAACTTTTGGAAAATTTTTTGAATCTAAATTCTTTCCAGAGAGACACAACTTCATATCATGATTATGGTGTATACCATGTTTCAAAGAGATCAGTCGAATAATGTAGGAGGAGATCTCCGGACAAAAGTCAAATACTGAAATGAACAAAGGGCAAGAACTTTTGGAAAAATTGTCGAATCAAAATTCTTTTCAGGGAAACACAATTTCATATCATGATTATCATGTATACCAAGTTTCAAAGATATCGGTCGAAAAATGTAGGAGGAGATTGCCGGACATACCATTATACTACCGTCAAATTTGACGGTCGTATAAAAATTGTTGAATTTGCACATTCTTAGTATATATGTGGATACTGTAAATTACAAAATTTGTGCAAATATTTGTTTCTGTGAGTGTTTATTTTCACAAATACTTCAATGAATAATAAGTTTCAAGAGCTCTGGTTTCTCCTAATTAAAAGGTACATGTTCTCAAGATATTTGAATTTACAATTGATCCTCTGTGAAATGGTGCAGAATTGTATTGCTTGAGAATTATACCAATAAGTGATTTACATCAGATTATATTTTTGTGAAGAGGTCCAAGACGTTTTACAGATTTCTTTGTGTGGAACTCTCCTGAAAAGGAGGAATATATCATCATTAAATAGAATGTCTTTAATAATCTTTTTACCTTTTTGGGACTCATGTTTTTCTAATCTCTCTTGGTGTTCATAGCCCACAGCCGATTTGTCCATATTATCTTTTTGTACTCCATATTTTCCTCCAAAACCTTTGGAATGATCTACAATATAACGAATAAGGATTTAGCGTATACTTACCAACAGATATCAGAGGGCACACAAGAGAACTGTAATTACTAATATAAATTAGTAACATAGATCTACCAAAGTTTTCCATTTCCTCAAAATGACAAAATAGGAATTCTAACTATATAATCTTTATTTACATTTTGTATGTTGTCAACAACAAACATAAGCTCTGTAGAGCTTTTATTACCATGCCACTTATGGAACAAATGGTGTTTCGCGGTGGATGAAAACCCACGTGGGGAAATCACCGTGCCATCGGAGGGATAAAAAATAACGCTATCAGACAACACACTCTTTTTTCCGCCACTGCTGGAGATTGAACCGAAACTCTTGGGAGAATAAGAGGTCTGAAACTCACGCTTGATTGCACACAATAGTAATGACTGTGCGTGTTAGCAATCAAGGCTGCCGAGGCACCCAGCAAGTGTAATTGAGACAATGTTTATGTTCAATCATAGAGTTTCCTCTTGTCCCGTAGTTTAGAGGTATAAAATTAATTGCTGGCTGTCAGTGCACCGGTGCTGGCCATAGAATTAATTGTCTTATGTCAGATAAGGCTTAGTATATGACCTGTCGGGGTATGCTGAACTGCATTTCATGTCTATTTGCACCTGATAACGATGTGATATGATATTACACTGTATCCATGTTATTTGTCAGTCCCAGATCAGTCCTTTGAGCTAGGCACACATCTATGTTAACCCTTGAGGACTAATACAACATTTAACACAACGATTGGTGTTTATTATTTGTATCCGAGAGACTTGGAGGGTAACAGTCAGGTTTAACCTAACTTTTTACTTGTTTGTGACATATTTGTCGAACTGATTCTTATTTGTGACTGATTTTTGCCTTTTTCTCCAGTTTACCTAACTGTAACCTTTTTCTCCAGTTTGCACAACTCTCACCTGTTTGTGACTCATGTTTGCCTAAATTTTCCTTGTGGTCATATCCTACAGCTGATTTGTCCATGTTTTCCTTCTGAACACCATACTTTCCTCCAAATCCTTTGGAATGATCTGAAAATGGAGGAAACATATACAATAGGTTAAGGTAAAAATATACACATTACCGTAAAAATGGAAAATTTTGCAGTGTGGAAATGTAAGCATTTTTCGCGTTGGTAAATTAGCGCGAAAATATCCAGATGTAAATATTTATTCAGATCCTATAGATTAAAGATAAATAGAATAAATATATTTCAGAATAGATTGTCAATGCAAAAAATTTCCACACGCAACAAATTTAATTTTTACAATATATGAATCATCACAATGAATGCCAGGCTGATTTTAAATAAGCTTGAGGGTTCCATCCCTCTATAAAATTCATTTGGGCTAATCATTTTTGATTCCAAACATGCACTTTATGTCTGGGCAGCAATTTCAATATCATGCTGTCAATACAGTTAGTAGTGGTGGATAGTTTCTACTGTCAATAATGTTAGGAAAAACGTCTTCACATCAGATGTGCATCTGACAATGTATTCCTAATGGGACACATGTAAACATGTCACTTCCTAACAAACTTCTCCGCCTGTGACAAAGCTAAATATGTGCATGTCTGTGTATTACTAGACTGTCTCTAGAATATTGAATTATAAAGAAAAAAATTAACTCTAATAATTTTGATCGCTTGGATGTCTGATCTTAAGTTCTAAACTAGGGGGAGATAAGCTAGTTGTAAAATGCAGTTGAGAAATTCTTCACAAAAACTGAGGGGCTGGTAGCCAGTTTAGTTTATTACTTATTGTAAAACATTACCTGTTGATCAATGTCTGCCTAGTTTTATCTGTTGTATCTTGTTTTTGCCTAGTTTTGCCTGGTTGTGACCTGTTTTTGCTTCATTTCACTTATTTGTGACTTGTTCTTCCTATAGTTTTACCTGTTTGTGACTCACGTTTGCCTAGATTTACCTGATTGTCAGCTGCGTTTGCCTAATTTTGCCTATTTGTGACTTTTTTTGCCTAGTTTTACCTGTTTGTGACATGTTTTTACCTAGATTTACCTGTGTATGACTCATGTTTGCCTAGTTTCACCTGTTTGTGACTCATGTTTGCCTAGTTTCACCTGTTTGTGACTTGATTTTGCCTAGTTTCACCTGTTTGTGACTCATGTTTGCCTTGTTTTACCCGTTTGTTACTCATGTTTGCCTAGTTTTACCTGTTTGTGACTCATGTTGGCTGGCTTTTTCCTTGTGGTCGTATCCAACAGCTACTCGATCAACTCGATCTTTCTGTACTCCAAACTTCCCGCCAAACCCAGTGGAATGATCTACACACAGGAAGTACAATACACATTCCATAACATGTCACATGCATGTTAGTATCTACAGGTAAATGTAACATGAAGTTCACACAAACAAATCCATGCAGGTAAAAGTCATAAATGAGGGCACTAAATATGGATTTAAAATCTGCAAAGAAATTAAAAATCATCATGTTTTAGAATTAAATTGAAATATGAAATCTTTTTATATACCTACCATAAAGGTATACTTTCTAGCAGTAATATAAATTATCACACCAACATAAACAATTTCAAAAAGGAAAATGTAAAATTTGTCCTATTGTGCTTTACTAAAGACAACTTTAGTTTGTTTGGGTTTTATGTCCTATTAACAGATTTTTAAGGATGAGCCAGGTTGTGGTGGTGGTGGAGGGAAACCGAAGTACCCAGAGAAAAAAACACTGAGCTACTGCCAGTACCTGGCGACTGCCCCACTCATGGCCTCAAACTTGAGACCCATTGGTGGAGGGCTAGAGTTCGTAGATGGTCTGACCCCTTAACAGCTTGGCCAACACAGCCCCTTACCCAAGACAAAGTTTCAAGGAGCAATAGTAATTAATTCCCTTCATCAGGGTTGAAATGGAAGGATAACATGGATAAACATCTGATATGGTGAATAGTAGTTGTAGAATTTCATGTTTTATTCATAGTAACAGTGACCTGGCCCTGTGATCATGAAACAATATCAAGTCTAATATTGTCTTAAATTTTGACTGAACCAATCACAAAAAAACATCATGAAAAGTGATCATATGTGATTGGCTAAGGAAAAACTAAAGTCCAAGATTGTTTGATGATCCTCGGGTCTGGACCTTTTGTCTTCATATCTGAAACCATTTTGAGCAAGCACCTCTAAGTGAGTAAAATGTGTAAGAAGGTAGTGTACTTTGTTTAAATTTGTTTGGCTCATAGGAGCTTAAAATATTGCACAGATCTCATTTTATTTTTTTTATTTTGTTACAGTGATTGTGGCTTTTGACCTTCAGACTTGAAAAGCATTCCCAATCAGTCCCAAAAGTTGCCCTGCACAGCTAAGTACCAAGGGTATCCTTCATATAAAATTTGAGAAAGATCCCTCTGGAACTTCTTGAAAAAAACGATTAACAAGAATCGTTTAAGGACGGACGACGGCCCACGGACGCAGGGTGATTTGAATACCCCACCATCAGATGATGGTTGGCTAAAAATTGAACAAAAATGTTGTTTATTCGATCACTCTCAAAAGTTGCCCTGTACAGCTAAGGACCAAGGGGAACCTTCATATAAAATTTGAGAAAGATCCATCTGGTACTTCTTGAAAAATACGGATAACAAGAATCGTTTAAGGACGGACGCCGGACCACGGACGCAGGGGGATTTGAATAGCCCACCCTCAGATGATGGTGGGCTAAAAATTGAACAAAAATGCATGCTATTAATTTTCAAACATACACTTGGATTAATATCATTCACATTTTTCAATGAGTTACGTACAATTTAATCAGGTGAAAATGGAATATTTATATATATTTACCATGTCTTTGACGTGTAAACAAACTTACTTTCAATCTGTAACAGACGTTATCTAACAATGTGTGTCTAAAACAGATCACTTTAAAACTCCATCATTTACAAGGGATCTGACTGTTATTTGCTATATTTTAAATAAATTTAACGAACAATGTATTCCATGTATCCTTAGTAAGAAATTACTGTATGAAATTTTGGCACTGTAGTCTACAGAAAAACATATAATAATGTAGCTAGAGACGACCCTTGAGCAGTGTTACACACAGCTAGAGGTGACCCAGGCGATGTTACAAATGTTAGAGATGACCCTGGGGCAGTGTTACACACAGATAGAGGTGACCCTTGAGCAGTGTTACACACAGCTAGAGGTGACCCAGGCGATGTTACAAATGTTAGAGATGACCCTGGGGCAGTGTTACACACAGCTAAAGATGACCCTGGGGCAGTGTTACACACAGCTAGAGATGTCTCTGGGGCAATGTTACACACAGCTAGAGGTGACCCTGGGGCAGTGTTACACACAGATAGAGGTGACCCTTGAGCAGTGTTACACACAGCTAGAGGTGACCCAGGCAATGTTACCAATGTTAGAGATGACCCTGGGGCAGTGTTACATACAGCTAGAGATGACCCTGGGGCAGTGTTACACACAGCTAGAGGTGACCCAGGCAATGTTACAAATGTTAGAGATGACCCTGGGGCAGTGTTACATACAGCTAGAGATGACCCTGGGGCAGTGTTACACACAGCTAGAGATGACCCTGGGGCAATGTTACACACAGCTAGAGGTGACCCTGGGGCAATGTTACAAATGTTAGAGATGACCCTGGGGCAGTGTTACACCCAGCTAGAGGTGACCCAGGCAATGTTACAAATGTTAGAGATGACCCTGAGGCAGTGTTACACACAGCTAGAGGCGACCCTGGCAATGTTACAAATGTTAGAGATGACCCTGGTGCAGTGTTACACACAGCTAGAAGTGACCCTGGGACAGTGTTACACACAGCTAGAAGTGACCCTGGGGCCGTGGTACACACAGCTAGAGATGACCCTGGGGCAGTGTTTCACACAGCTAGAGGTGACCCTGGGGCAGTGTTACACACAGCTAGAGGCGACCCTGGCAATGTTACAAATGTTAGAGATGACCCTGGTGCAGTGTTACACACAGCTAGAAGTGACCCTGGGGCAGGGGTACACACAGCTAGAGATGACCCTGGGGCAGTGTTTCACACAGCTAGAGGTGACCCTGGGGCAGTGTTACACACAGCTAGAGATGACCCTGAGGCAGTGTTACACACAGCTAGAGGTGACCCTGGGGCAGTGTTACACACAGCTAGAGGTGACCCTGGGGCAGTGTTACACATAGCTAGAGGTGACCCAGGCAATGTTACAAATGCTTAGGATGACCCTGGGGCAGTGTTACACACAGCTAGAGATGACCCTGGGGCAGTAGTACTGTCATAATGAAGCAGTGTAATTGTACCTGTCTGTGATGCATGCTTCTCTGTTTTCCCTGTGTAATCATAGCCTAATGCGGACTGAAAAATACAAAATTAATTCATCAGTTGTATTTATAATATATAGTCAAAAGTCATGCTTTCCTGAAAAATACCCTTTGGAACAATTCCTAATTCCAAGCAAGGACTGTCTACAGTAAATATATAAGCAGCAAATATGTCAAGAGAAAATAAGTCAACAGGAAGCATCGATATCAGAATCAAGCTGGTTCATTTGTACTGAATATTACCTTAACAACTCTTTTTCTTAAGGTAATAGGATTGTGTCACCATTTATCAGTAGAATTTCTTCAAATTTTGTAGTTATATTGCTTTAAAGTAAAGAAAATTTTCTGCCACAAAAAAGATATAGGTTGTCAGAATTTTAAGGATTTTAAATGGAAATTTATGTAAAAAGGAGTGAATTTTGAAAACAAAATGAAAGACACAATATTTTCGCAAAATAATGTCAATAAAAATGATACTGACATATATTAGTATTGCATTAATGTATATCAATTTAATAAATGCTGAAATTGTGTAAAATTAATTCTCTATAGACGATATAAAAATTGACATTTTATAATAAAACCATATACACATAGTAATTGCAGGTAAGAGTTATCGTTCTTGAAAAACTTCACAGTAGTGAAATAGGCAGCCGGTTTCCTGAAGTACAGAAAAATTGACACATGTGACCCATTGATAAAAAACCCCTGAATTAATGCCTGGATTGCTTTGAAATACTTTAATATTGAGAGAACATACTGTTTTGTCAATAATAAACATACAATATTCATCAGTTTAATATTAAACATTAGAATTTGCGGAAATTGTGATACTGTCTCCCTACATTGGATTTTCAACAAGGAATGTACTTCCTGTTTCCATTTATCAATACACTCCAATGACCTTAATACATTTCCATATCCTGATGAAAGCGTAACATCATATGACACATTTTAAGACACCGATCAGCATTGTTTGGCACTTCAGTTCAATTCTTTTTCATCAATTGTACTTCCACCTTAACAATGATATCTTTAGTATAGGCTCATGTTGACATACAACACATATCAATACAAAACACATAGTGTGGGCACTGCAATATACTCCATAATAAGTTTCAGTGCCAAAACTACCCCTACAACTTGTCAAGTGGTAAGATCTCCGCACACTGCATAACATACATGTATTTACACAAACTATAATTGTAATGATCTGACAAGTATCTTTATATAAGTTCTTATAATGCTTAATTTCTTTTCTAAAAAAACATCTGTTCAGAAATTTAAAGCAGAAATTTCCCAATAAATGAGTTGAGGTTTGTGAGCTTTGTCTGGGCGTTCTTACCTGATCTTGCCGATCCTGCTGGACCCCAAACTTGCCGCCAAAGCCTTTTGCGTTATCCGCCACACTGCTATGCTGCTCTAGTTTAGCTATATATTCATTACCTACAGCAACCTGTTCCAATGAAATATTTCAATTTGAAATTTCATGTTAAAAATTTGGAGTCATTGGCTTGGAATGCATGCATTTGAAGAATAGTGCAGGACAGTGCTTTGCGTCATCGGGAGTAACTTGTGCTTTGTTCTCAAACCTTGTATATCAAATGTTGTGTATATTATATATTATTATGAGAACTATATAACCAATATATCCCAAATGTTATTTTCATTATAAAATTGTAAGATACTGTTAACTATTAAAAGTTTAAATCTCAAAGTTTTGTTTTTAAGAACTCCAGGCCCCGGGATCAAGAAACAATCTTAGACTTCAGTTTTTGCTTAACCAATCACATACAACGTCAATTTTCATGATGTTATCTATGATTGGCTAAGTCAAAACTTTAAACTTAAGATCATTTTGTGATTCTGGGGCCTGTTCAGGAAATTATATTGTTATATGTCAGGACTTGTTCACTCAAATTCATGCACATTTCATTTTACAAATTGATTTCAGCAAAATAGTATGCTTCGATGGTTTTTAGATGGTATGTACCAGCTAAGAGCAGAGTATGTCCTGGATGTTAATAACTTATCCTTACTTCACATCAGGGATGTTTAATACAGCATGAAGTAACAGGGGTTATTCAGGGGAGTTTGGGAAACAGAACCTGGGATGAAATTGGGAACTTTAAAGGGGTAGATTGGGAAAAAATTCAAACATTTTTTTCCAACTGAGCAAAAAAGTACCCTGATAAACCCATTAATAATGTCAGGATGAAGATGAATTATCATAATCAATCTTATGGTACCTTATCCATGCGGTCCTTCTGTACACCAAACTTGCCCCCATAACCATACGATGACTTGGGTCCTTTCTCAAACTCATCCTTCTTGATGTTTTTATCATCAATGGCAACATTTTTTCGGAGATCTTCCATTCTAAAATAGTAAAAGCAGAAACTAAAAATTATCTCATGCATAATATTATATTCTTCATTAAGAAATCAATAACCTCTTTTGCAGTTTGTTTATTTATATGTGTTTTAATCCTATCAACAGCTATGGTCATTTAAGGACGTGCCAGGTTTAGGTAGTGGAAGAAAGTCAGAATACCGGGAGAAAACCCCCCGACCAGCGACCAGTACCTGACGACTGCTCTACATAGACTTGATACCTGTGACCCAGTGTCGGAGAGCTAGTGGTCATAGACGGTCAGACGCCTGAACCACTCAGCCACTGCGACCAACTTTGTTGCAGTAACATTAAAATAATGTGCACAAAGGATTAGCTGTCATTTGCTGAGACTGATATGTGCAGTTGTGGTGGAGGATATCAGCTCTCTGAGCTAGATAACTAGATGTATTGTTTTTCTAGATGTCATGATATTTTTTTATCAATTATGCAATTTATACCTTGTTATGTTTATCTCTGAACATTGCAAATGTGTTTTTGTCTCTATTGTTGTTGCTTTTTTATAAAAAAAAGACATTGCACAAAGTTGGTTTCTGAATTGAGACTTAGAGATACATATGTACTACATGAATTTCATTTTAATATTTTCATAAACCTACCAACTTCAAATTAATTGTATTGTAATTTTTCTCAAACAAATGACGTTCAAATTTTATTTCTGAAAATGGTGTAAATCTCTTGCTTAAATTCTATTGCCAATGTTGAAAATAAACAATCACTTGAAGTATGGATCATAGAAATTGGTTAATTGTTTTGTGAGTAATTTTAAAAGAAAGTTATACCAGTTATCTTGTTCAGACAGCAATCTTATCATTCTGGTGAAGGAAAGATTTTAATAGTTTCATTGGCCTGATACAGTCTGTATCCAGCCACCAATAATCTGAGTTTTTATAATCCTGCCTATCTGTGTGAGACAAATTTTCATTTCTATCAAACTTCAAGCCATGTTTGTTGGGGACCTATATGGCTGGATTAAAATGGCATGACTGTGTATAGATATGTTTAAGTGTTGGAAAATATCCTTAGTTCTGTTAACAGTTCATAGTTGTCAAGTTCAGATCTTATCTGCGTATATAGCGGACCTATCATCGTGGCTATGGGCATACAGCATTTCCTAGATGACTTTAATCACCACATTAAGAATTCAATGAGGCCAGGTCAACTGTTTTTATATCATGACATCACAACTGTTTGGAAACATTTATCATTCCTATCTGAACTACAATAAGTTACATATATGCATGTATGACAAAATGCTGCACAAACAAGTTGTTTATAAAGAAGAATATACTTGATTGAAGCCTGGTGACCTGATCCTTCGATTGTCTTGGCCCCCCATCTTTGGTCAACCTCACTCACATCATTCTGCAAAAAGAGACCAAGCAATTAAAAGTAACATGTTTAAATAAAACAGAAAGTTTCCATATGAATCCAAGAGTATTAGATTGTACATTTCTATCATTCCTCCTCGATACACCAGGGGTTACGCTCACTTACACTCACTTATACCCTCTAGATCTGCATCCCTAGAATATGTCTTAACAAAATTGAAGGCTCAGTATGTGTCACCTTGTGGTTAAGACAAGAATACCAGTTTGATCCTTTGATGTACATCAAACAAATTTCGTGATAGTGTTATTAATAAACGGTAAAATTTACTGGCTTTGAAGTTTGGGGTCACTCCCCTGTGATCTTCGAAGGACAGGTATCAATCTAGCGATTGGTCAGGTGTTTTTACTTGAGACCAATCAAATAGCTGGCTGCATGCCTTCAATTTTGCTATGATGCACAATGTATTCCATGGGTGCAGAGATCGTTAGTGAGTGTAACTCCTGGAACATCAAGGATGGTCTATTATTGTGACTCAACTAAAGAGAATCCATTATCTATACATTATAATTCTTCAAAACTCTCGGACTCAACTAAACAGATTCTACAATTTCTAATTTTCCAAACACTCAAACCCAAGTAAAGAGATCCAAAATTGTGATAGTAGTTCTTCAAAACACAGGGATTCATCTACAAGATATTTCACAAATTCTAGTCTTTCAAAACACTCGGGACTCCAATAAAAGAGTATCCACAATTTCTACTACATCAAAGCACTTTGAATCAACTAGGAGAATCCACAATCTTTATATCAGGTTATCCTACAAAACAGTGCCTGCACCAAAAAATATTAATCTTTTCAAAAGTTTGGTCCCAGGAGTGCTACAATAATGATATTTAATATATGATACAAGTCATATTTCCAGATATTAGCAGTCCTTTGCAATTTTTTGTTTATCTGCTATAGAGACAACATCAACTTTAACACTGTGATCTAAAACTTATAACAAAATTGGAACCAGTCTTCAAATTTTACAATACAAAATTGCAACACAGTAAGGACCTGTCCCCCAATTCATTACATTACAACTTACAACGAAGTCGGGATCTGTCTCCCATTCATCATCTTCTTCTGCAGGAGGGGCATTTGATTTTACGTTGTGTCCAACACCTGACTTCCACATCTTGTGTCAGATTTCTATGTCACTGTAAAATAATAGGAACAATATCAACAGTTTAGAAATACAGGATACCGAAATTCATTGTATCATTAGATGTTTAGAGGATTAGATACACACTAACAATGAAAGCTGCAGTCACCTTTTAGTGTTAACATTTTGCTTCTATTTTCACTTTTATGAGATGAGTACATGTGCAGTGTACTATATATCAGTGGAATGGGGCGGGGGGAGGGGGGAGTCTCCTGACAGGAGCCTCCAGCTCTTCAGATTGTTATTTCTGCACGATATGGTCCGCTTTTAAATTCTTCCTGTGTTTGACTTTGTATACTTGTGTTTTTGGCAAGAATAGCACTGCTTCGACGATACCACTCTATGCTTACTTAATACGACTGTCGAACACAATTTTTAATATAATAATTCCTTGTTTACCAGCCGGCAAACTTGGAAATGAATCATCGATGATAAAATGCGTCGGTGAATCCAGAGTTAATGCAAAACGAATGCTTTTCACATTTCGTGAAGAAGCGTCTGTTTAAAATTATTTCGTTTTCGTTCAAGACTTACACTCAAAATATCCAACCTGTGTTTAAACCCCAATATTCAGTATTGTTTATCGGTTTGCTGTCTTCTTCCTTGTAGGCACACTTCGGACTTCCTACTTCCTGTCCTGTCACATGACTTTCTGCACTCATGATAGTTTCGTATTTTTCTACCGGAAGTAAATTGCTGAAATGAAAGTAATAAAGTTCCCGATTAGCAAAGGTATGAAATTAATTTTAACGTTTGCGCAAACTCTATTTTAAATTGGAACAGTTAGCACGATTTTAACTGTTGGACTTGTTGAATGTTATTGAGTTTACCCCACATTTTCTAGTCTGACAAGCATCGAAGTAGAAAATAAAGTGGAGATTTACAGATACAGGTTAGTTTTCTTCACAGGGACCTGATAATTTGTTACAGCTTTATTATATTTGGATCTTAACTACTTGGTGTTCATAGTAACTTTGCATTGTTAAGGGAATTATATCGTTCAGTGAAAATGATACACCCAATGATTGTATATATATGTGAAAGGGTGGAAAGCAGTCGATGTCAAAACTCAAAAGTCGATCCTGACCTAACTTTCTGACATAAAAAACAACATTTTTTTTCTAGTTGATGAACGATAGCCCGAGTTTCCTCTGGCCCTGACACCAGACTTAGACATTTTGACAGATAGATGTACATCTATTTGTCAAAACGTCTAAGTCTGGTGACTTTTTATTAACTGGCATAGGGCATGCTGAAAAAACGCATTTGGAATAGTACTACTATTAGTCATCCTGAAAAAAGGTGTACTTCAGTGTTGTAAAAAAAAAAGCCTCTAAAATATTTGTTATTTTATGCATATTCCCAAAAAAGTGGAACTGAAGACTGGTAAAAATTTAGGATCTGGAAAAATAAGTATCTGAGCTGTGGATACCTGACTGATTATTGATTTTATAATAGGTTGGACTTCGCAACAGATTTACCTGTTGCAACAGTTATCAGTCATAAAAAAAAAATATAATTCTTTTAAAAGAAAAAAAATATAATAATTTTCTGAACTTTTCAGTCGCTCAGTTTGTAGGTATTTTGGGAGACAATTGAACCTGCTTATGATATAATGTGTCTTTAGAAACTCAATCCACATTTTAACAAAAAGATAATGAAAAAGAGGTCTCCAAGTTTTCTTTTTTCCTTTTTTGTCTTTCTGGAAATAATCGATGAAGGTCGATTGAAATATGGCTTGATTTTCAACATCATAGTAAGATAGTCTCTGAACAAAGTGTCTTGCATGCCAGTATCACATTAACTAATGTAAACTTGTCAGAACTTATTTTGTACAACTACCATATCTGCAAATATTGTGAATTTATGTTGCACAAAGACAATACTGTCTATTGCAAGAAATCAAGATATTACATTAATGTTATCAGAATGTAAGTTATTATTTCAAAATCTGTGCTGTTATTTTCAGTTTTAGGCTGATTGAGGGCCACGTTGGCCACATGGTTAACTCATTCACCCCTGAAGTTTCATAATGAACTAGTCCAACCTTTGTATTGGAAGAGTTCAAATGTGTCTTCAGGGGTGAATGAGTTAAGGCATGATGAGACTGACATTCTGCTACCACTAGCCCTCCACCACTGGGTCGTGGGTTTGAGGCCTACGTGGGGCAGTCACTCTGTACATCTTTAAATGACTATAGCTGTTAATGGGATGTAAAAGTAACACAAACAAATTTTAGGCTTATTATATATGGGCCGAATACTGGTAACCTGACTGAATTATATATTTCCAGAGCTGAACATGAAATTTTAAAAATTGTAAATTTATCCTCATTGTATTGCAGCATAAAAATTACAGCATTGATCATATGAAACAGTTATGTTGATCCTGTCTTTTAAATTAAAAAAAATAATCTTGGTACTGGGGAGGCAGTGCCAAAAAATGGGGAAATGTTTGCAATTTACTTTCAATGAAAGCATTTTGCTAAGATTGCTTAAGGATCCGCTCAAGGTAAGCAATATACAGGCCCTCTGGGACTTGTGTTGATTGGTTCGCTACTGTAACTCATTGTTTACTCGCTGCAGAACTGAAATTTATCTTGGTAAATATCTGATACACTTTACCTATCTTGCAGTCTCTTTTGTCTATATGATAAAAAGAGTTGTTCATCTTTGTCTGTAACTGCAGGGACAAGATATGTCCAGGTGCATGATCGAGAAGTGAATATTATTTTCTGTAGATTTTGTAACAGTTGCTATGCTCAGACTAAAAACACATTCTTTAAAGGGCACAATCTTATCCCTTAATCAATAATAGTTTTAAGTGATGAAAAAATAACAATACACCATCTCTCTTACTGACAAGGTTTGAGCCATTTTGTTTAAGGGTTACCTCCCTTAATGCAATACATCAGTACAACATTTCCTAGTTCTGATGGTCAGGAGCAAAACTCTGTGAAAATGTATTTATATTGAATCCACTTGCCCAACAGGTTAGGGAAACATTTTCTGCTGAATATTACTATTACAGCTGAGCATACTGTAATGTATAACTGAACAATACATTTAACAGGCAAAAAATAAAGTATATAATTTATGTTGTTTTAATTCTATCAAAAGGCAAAATGATTAAGTGCTAGGGTCATAAGTTGTAGACCCTAGACTATATTATTACAGGGTAATAAAGGTTCGCACTCTATCTCTAACTCTGCTACTTTTTCAGACCATATCTCACAATATTCTTTCATCTTCAATTGCTAAATGTGACAAGTACTTTTTGGTGTGGTGGAGGGTCACATCAAATGACTAGCAGGCGTATAGTACACTCCTAATGATCTATGTGGTTAAGCAGGTAGAGGTTCAACTCTAGATGAAATATGTGGACCGAGCAGGTGGGAGTTCAACACCTGATGTGCTATGTGGGCTAGCAGGTGGGAGTTAAGCTCTAGATTGACTTTGATGACTAGCAGGTGAAGGTTCAACTCCTGATGAACTATGTGGATTTACAGGTTGTGGTTAAACTCATGATGAAATATGTGGGCTAGTAGGTTGTGGTTAAATTCATGATGAATTATGTGGACATGCAGGTGGGGGTTCAACACCTGATGAGTTATTTGAGCTAGCAGGTGATGGTTCAACACCTGATGAACTATGTGAGCTAGCAGGTGGAGGTTTAACTCCTGATGAACTTTGTGGGCTAGCAGGTTGTGGTTCAACTTTAGATGTAATATGTGGACCTAGCAGGTGGGAGTTCAACACCTGATGTGCTATGTGGGCTAGCTGGTGGGAGTTCAGCTCTAGATTGACTTTGTGGGCTAGCAGGTGAAGGTTCAACACCTGATGTGCTATGTGGGCTAGCAGGTTATGGTTCAACTTTAGATGAAATATGTGGACCTAGCAGGTGGGATTTCAACACCTGTTGTGCTATGTGGGCTAGCAGGTGGGAGTTAAGCTCTAGATTGACTTTGTGGGCTAGCAGGTAGAGGTTCAACTCCTGATGAAATATGTGGAGTTGCAGGTGGGAGTTCAACACCTGATGAACTATGTGGACATGCAGGTGGGGGTTCAACACCTGATGAGCTATTTGGGCTAGCAGGTGGAGGTTCAACTCTAGATGAAATATGTGGGCTAGCAGGTGGATGTTCAACTCCTGGTGAAATATGTGGAGTTGCAGGTGGAAGTTCAACACCTGATGAACTATGTGGACTTGCAGATGGGGGTTCAACACCTGATGAGCTATTTGGGCTAGCAGGTGGAGGTTCAACTCTAGATGAAATGGGCTAGCAGGTAGAGGTTCAACTCCTGATGAATTATGTGGGCTAGCAGGTGGAGGTTCAACTCCTGATGAACTCTGTGGTCTAGCAGGTAGAGGTTCAACTCCTGATGAAATATGTGGGCTAGCAGGTGGAGGTTCAACTCCTGGTGAAATATGTGGAGTTGCAGGTGGAAGTTCAACACCTGATGAACTATGTGGGCTAGCAGGTGGAGGTTCAACTCTAGATGGAATATGTGGGCTAGCAGGTTGTGGTTAAACTCATGATGAAATATGTGGACATGCAGGTGGAGGTTCAACTCCTGATACCTATGGTTTATTGGAGATAAATCATTGTTATGAGCCATGGATCTCTATGGTTGATAGGAGAGAAACTATTGGTAACAAGCCATAATGTCTATGGTTGATGGGAGAGAAAGTAATGGTAACTATTCATAGACATCTATGGTTGATGGGAGAGAAACTATTGGTAACTAGCCATGGATCTCTATGGTTGATAGGAGAAAAACTATTGGAAACAAGCCATAATGTCTATGGTTGATGGGGGAGAAAGTAATGGTAACTATTCATAGACATCTATGGGTGATGGGAGAGAAACTATTGGTAACTAGCCATGGATCTCTATGGTTGATGGGAGAGTAACTATTGGCAACTAGCCATGGATCTCTATGGTTGATGGGAGAGTAACTATTGGCAACTAGCCATGGATCTCTATGGTTGATATGAGAGAAACTATTGGTAACTAGCCATGGATCTCTATGGTTGATAGGAGAAAAACTATTGGAAAAAAGCCATAATGTCTATGGTTGATGGGAGAGAAAGTAATGGTAACTATTCATAGACATCTATGGTTGATGGGAGTGAAACTATTGGTAACTAGCCATGGATCTCTATGGTTGATGGGAGAGTAACTATTGGCAACTAGCCATGGATCTCTATGGTTGATATGAGAGAAACTATTGGTAACTAGCCATGGATCTCTATGGTTGATGGGAGAGTAACTATTGGCAACTAGCCATGGATCTCTATGGTTGATGGGAGAGTAACTATTGGCAACTAGCCATGGATCTCTATGGTTGATGGGAGAGTAACTATTGGCAACTAGCCATGGATCTCTATGGTTGATGGGAGAGTAACTATTGGCAACTAGCCATGGATCTCTATGGTTGATGGGAGAGAAAGAAATGGTAACTATTCATAGACAAGGTAGAGGTTCAACTCCTGATGAACTATGTGGGCTAGCAGGTGGAGGTTCAACTCCTGATGAAATATGTGGGCTAGCAGGTGGAAGTTCAACACCTGATGAACTATGTGGGCTAGCAGGTGGAGGTTCAACTCTAGATGAAATATGTGGGCTAGCAGGTTGTGGTTAAACTCATGATGAAATATGTGGACATGCAGGTGGAGGTTCAACTCCTGATATGCTATGTGGGCTAGCAGGTAGAGGTTCAACTCTAGATGAAATATGTGGGCTAGCAGGTTGGGGTTCAACACCTAATGAGCTATTTGAGCTAGCAGGTGGAAGTTCAACACCTGATATACTATGGGAACTAGCAGGTGGAGGTTCAACTCCTAATGAACTATGTGGGCTAGCAGGTTGTGGTTCAGCTCATGATGAAATATATCGACTAGCTGGTGGATGTTCAACTCTAGATGAAATATGTGGAGTTGCAGGTGGAGGTTCAACACCTGATGAACTATGTGGGCTAGCAGGTGGAGGTTCAACTCCTGATGAACTATGTGGGCTAGCAGGTGGAGGTTCAACTCCTGATGAACTATGTGGGCTAGCAGGTGGAGGTTCAACTCCTGATGAACTATGTGGGCTAGCAGGTGGAGGTTCAACACCTGATGAACTATGTGGGCTAGCAGGTGGAGGTTCAACTCCTGATGAACTATGTGGGCTAGCAGGTGGAGGTTCAACTCCTGATGAACTATGTGAGCTAGCAGGTGGAGGTTCAACTCCTGATGAACTATGTGGGCTAGCAGGTGGAGATTCAACTCTAGATGAACGATGTGGGCTAGCAGGTAGAGGTTCAACTCTAGATGAACTATGTCAGCTAGCAGGTGGAGGTTTTACTCCTGATGAAATATGTGGGCTAGCAGGTGGAGGTTCAACTCTAGATGAACTATGTGAGCTAGCAGGTGGAGGTTCAACACCTGATGAACTCTGTGGGCTTGCAGGTGCAGGTCCAACTCCTGATGAACTATGTGGGCTAGCAGGTGAAGGTTCAACACCTGACGAACTAGCAGGTGGAGGTTCAACTCTAGATGGACTATGTGGACTAGCAGGTGGAGGTTCAACTCCTGATGATTTCTGTGGGCTCGCAGGTGCAGGTTCAACACATGATGAACTATGTGGGCTAGCAGGTGGAGGTTCAACTCTAGTTGAACTATGTGAGCTAGCAGGTTTTGGTTAAACTCATGATGAACTATGTGGACTTACAGGTGCAGGTTCAACTCCTGATGAGCTATGTGGGCTAGCAGGTGGAGGTTCAACACATGATGAACTCTGTGGGCTAGCAGGTGCAGGTTCAACTCCTGATGAACTATGTGGGCTAGCAGGGGGAGGTTCAACTCTAGTTGAACTATGTGAGCTAGCAGGGTTTGGTTAAACTCATGATGAACTATGTGGACTTACAGGCCCAGGTTCAACTCCTGGTGAACTATGTGAGCTAGCAGGTGGAGGTTCAACTCTAGTTGGGCTATGTGAGCTAGCAGGTTTTGGTTAAACTCATGATGAACTATGTGGACTTACAGGTGCCGGTTCAACTCCTGGTGAACTATGTGAGCTAGCAGGTGGAGGTTCAACTCCAGATGGACTATAACGGCTAGCAGGAAGAGGTCCAACTCTTGATGAACTATGTGAGCTAGCAGGTGGAGGTTCAACACCTGATGAACTCTGTAGGCTCGCAGGTGCAGGTTCAACTCCTGTTGAACCTTGTGGGTTAGCAGGTGGAGGTTCAACACCTGATGATTTCTGTGGGCTCGCAGGTGGAGGTTCAACACCTGATGAACTACGGGGGCTAGCAGGTGGAGGTTCAACTCCTGATGTACTATACCGGCTAGCAGGAAGAGGTTCAACTCTTGATGAACTATGTGAGCTAGCAGGTGGAGGTTCAACTCCTGATGTACTATACCGGCTAGCAGGAAGAGGTTCAACTCTTGATGAACTATGTGAGCTAGCAGGTGGAGGTTCAACACCTGATGAACTCTGTAGGCTCGCAGGTGCAGGTTAAACTCCTGTTGAACTTTGTGGGCTAGCAGGTGGAGGTTCAACTCCTGATGAACTATGTGAGCTAGCAGGTGGAGGTTCAACACCTGATGAACTCTGTGGGCTAGCAGGTGCAGGTTCAACTTTAGATGAACTATGTTGGCTAGCAGGTGGAGGTTCAACTCTAGATGGCCTACGTGGACTAGCATGTAGATATTCAACTTGTGATGAATAAGCCACTCTAAAGTGCTTTACAGTACATAGATATAGAATTTATACAATAAATACAATTAGCAATCTCACTGCCTTGTCAGGTGCTGACTACTAGTCCGATGCCACCTGGCTAATATCTCCCTATGTGTGTATGCCTGCATATGTGCTGGAGATGTAATGTGTTTTGTTTGAAGTGGGACCGTGCTTCCAATGGCATCATTTATAGTGCCACCTTGCTTGAATGCTACAACACAGACACTGGACAACGCAACATCCACCCCAGACCATTTTATACTCTATTTAGATTGTTGGAGTTGTGTGGGCAGGAGAAAAACACTTTCTCTGAATATTCCATGCGTACAATGATTTTGGGGATCGAACCCTCCGACCTTCCACCCAGGTGGCCGGCCTGTGTGGAAGGCCGGAGTGTTAGCCACTGGACCAATCTGCCCGCGATGTCTACTGTATCTTCTGTCAGACCTTAAACAAAGTTTTAATGTGACACTATATATGTAAATAAAGTTATTGATTGTCTGATTTAGTGTTATATAATTGTATATAAAATAAAAGCAATAAAAACCATCGGGAGAGACACATTTGGAAAGTTGCCAGATAAGTTTGAAAGTCATATGGGTTATATATCTAAGTTACGTCATGTAAGCTGTGGATAACGTTTTAAAGTCCAACTTTTTTCCATTTATTTTCAACACAAATTTGATATTTTAGTTACCGTATGTAAATACATTGTATTTTAAAGAGTAAAACTAAATCATCAAGTTCAGAATATTCCGATAAAAACAAGGTAGATTTATTCTTATTCACATGCAAAAAATTGTAATTGATTTATCAGCAGAAGTCTGCCAAAGAGGTCTATCAGAGAGTAAAAAGACAATGGGACCAGACCTGCTAAGCTACCTGATCAATGGTAGTTGTCTGGCCCTGTCCTCCTACAGTTATAACAGAAACAAAATTAAGGCGAGGCTACTGTATGTATGAAAAACCACTGGAATTCTAGAGTAGGACAGGGATCCTTTAATGCAAAACAATGCCTAAGGTGGAAATACCTATATCAGTATTGAAAAATATCAAATAATCAATGCTCACTCAGTTAATTATTTCCAAAAATGCGATATTAAAAAAAAAAACACAGGGTAGACAATATTTTTATTTCAAATTTCTGGCACAAGCATCTTTGATACATCTAGATATTGTGTGGGCAAAGTTATAACAAACAGATTTCAACATCAATAAAGATATTTTATATTTAGTGTTTATTATGAGCTTATTTGATGGCTTAACACTCTGTATTTAATGAGACTTTAGAACTCAGCATGAAAACTAATGAAATTTTGATTATTATTCTATGATAATGATTTAAAAGTTAATTGTTGTATAAATCACCTAAAGTCTATAAGTGTGGTATCCGACAATTACACTATATTGCCCAAACCTATTTTTAAATAGATCAAGTGAAGTCAGTGTTACCTTTAAAGTGTAATTAAGAATTCTTTTATGAACCGATTTTTACTTCCTGTGATCAAGTTCTTTAGTTCGTTGTATAGGATATAACGACTTATCAAAAGTTGTGTGTTATGTATTCGTGCTTGTGTGTATGTGTGCCGGAGGGAGGGTATGTTGATGTACTTGCCTCCTTGTACATGATAGTGCGGATCTGATGCCGACTATATAGTGATACCTCACTGAAAAACCATGCCGAAGGCACCCAGCACAGCATTCCGCCAGGTCACATTGTACTGACAACGGGTGAAATAGATCTACTAAGTCAAATAAAAATTGTCAATAGTTTAGAACTATGATTAAAAGGGGGCAAGAAGGATTTTTCAAAATCTGCCTGCGAGCTAGTTATCTTAATAGGAAATTCTATACTGTAATAGCCCTTGTATTATAACTCCAGATATTAATCACCAATGTCCTTTATAAGTCCATAAGAACTTGTGAAATTGACTTAGAATGACTCAATAATTGTTGCTCAGATGTCGTATTTATTATCAGTAATGATGTAAAATATGAATCCTCCAACTATGGGTCGTTGGTATACATCATCAGAATGTCGTAAATTGGAAACTCGATACTCTCAGATCTGGTGAGAATGGAAACTTTTGGATGCCAAATGAATATGTCTACACTCTAGCTCTGTGTGTACGAATGGTAAAAACGCACCAAACCACATAACACAGACAACTGATCTGACCTCTGACCGAAACAAGGCAACACCTATAATTAGAATAATTATACCATATATGGACAAGAGAATGTAAGACCAATGTGAGGGCAGACTCACATGTACAAAGACAACACAAGTGGATGGCAGAGAAATATACACAGTACAGTATACAATGTACAATAAATGCATCGTAACAATATAGTTAATATTAAATCATCTTGTCACCATAATTAATATCTGCACATTGTTACGAATCGTAAAAGTGTCAGTTAGAACTCGGAGGGCTCCAGGGCCACTTTCATTTGATATTTCGATCCAAACATCCAAACGGTGGAACCTGTTGGACAAAACTTGTTTGTCTATGAAATAAATTAAACTTGGACCTAGTAACCTGAGGCTCACACCTTTCAGAAAAGTTTTGACAGAGCCTTGCAAGGCCCACATAAACATTTGCAGGTCCGCCATGATTTATACCCATAAATGTTACAAACCGGTTGTTCTGCATAAACAAACAGGCCCCAGACCTTTACTTTATTTCATGTCGTCAATTTAGCCAAACTGACGTGTTTGTTTTTGTAGAAGTAGCAGTCCTCTGTTGTAAGGACATCAAACCTTTATCCCCCCTGATGGCGGTTTTTAGGATACCAGAGGTGTCATCTGGTTGATGCTCAGAGGTACCTAACTTAATATATCAACATATCATCCATAGCAACAATTCTCATGGCAATGGAAGGCTCGAGATAATTCAGTTAGTTATCAGTTTAAAACAGTTTAATCACCTTTCCGTACAAGGACTCGAGTGTATACTTTATATCATTCACACAATTATTCATCAATCTCCCATGAAATATTAGAACTGTTTTCGGCTGCCGTTTTCTGTCAATATAATAACTGCAAAAGACAAATTCTACAAAGAGTGCTAGCAATATTTTCCTGTTGATATTCACATAACCAACAAAATTAAGTTTAGTTAATATCCTCGAATTATTTGTATGTGAAATGATAAAAAGATAATGAGCACTAGGAATGATACCTTTGGGAAATCACCAATGTTCTTAGAAAAATAAAGGAAAAAACATCTGTGATTCATTAAACGCAGATGCATCGAAAATGCGATTGATAAACAATTGTTAATGTCCATAAGAGACCCAAAGGCAGTCTTTGTCAAAAATTAACACAGATTAAATACATGAAGTTTGGTATGGATGTTATTGTGAAAAATATATCAAAGTTATTCCAACTGGAATATGGTAATATTAATTGTCAAAAGTTGAAAATAAGTATGCACAATCTCCTTAGAGCTGATATGTGTTCTGGAAAGCTACACAGACCCTAGTAATAGCTGTTTCAGTGTTTGCCCTTTCTATTGGCAGTGGCAGTGTTAAAATACATATTACCACTGAATACATATATATACTGTTAATGGTTCACTGGGTACTCCAGTTTCCTTCCACATTTAGACCTTCTGCATGCTTTCACCCGGACCATCAAGAGAGTGATTAATATAAGTTGCAATAACTTGTTCATAATTGTAGTAAGATAAATTATGAATAGATCAATTTTACCATCTTATCTTTTAAGGAACTACTGGTATGAAGCCCCATAGTGGAAAGGAAGCTGGGACAACCTACTTATATAAAATTATATGGTTGATCTGAGAATTCTATGGTTAACTAGCCATAAATATCTATGGTTGATGGGATAAAAACTTATGGTAACAAGCTTAAGCCATGATGTCTTTGGTGGATGGAGGAGAAACTAATGGTAACCAGCAATTGATGTCTATGGTTGATGGAAGAAAAAATAATGGTAACTAGCCATAATGTCTATGGTTGATGGGAGAGAAAGTAATGGTAATGAGCCATGGACATCTGTGGTTGATGGGAGAGAAACTAATGGTAACTAGCCATGGATCTCTATGGTTGATGGGAGAGAAACTAATGGTAATGAGTCATGGATTCCTATGGTTGATAGGAGATAAACTATTGGTTATGAACCATTGA